ATATATATATATAAGAGAGAGATTCAACATAGTTAAGATAGTTGTACTATTAATTTCTCTTAGTTCATTTAAAGGAAAGGTTTGTGCTAATATTGTTTGGACAATTAAATACCTATATCTTGTACTCTGAGCAACTAAAGATAACAATATGCAGTGTATTAACCATTGTTACCCTCGTATTGTTTTGAAATTTTGGTTTTTTTTTTCCTTTCAAATTAAAAAAAAAAGAGGAGAGTCCTTTGGAGAAAAGCAGTAATCAGTATGCTGTTTTAAATCTCAGAGAATTGGAGAGGAAAGGTAGAGTTACTGGAAAAGGTCCAGGTGGTCTAGAAAATCAGTCTGATGGTTTGATTGAGAACTAAGCGAAGGGGTAGGGAAATGGCCAAGGACGCAGTAAGGTGAAACTCATTACGTACTGCCAATTTTGTAAAGACTGAGAGTCAGCTGTCGTTTCTACACCATTTCTCCGGTGCCTAGCACATTAAATAAGCACTTGATGTTTGTTGGATGAATAGCTATCAAATGAGTTTTAACTCCTTCTAAAAGCTTTCAGATACTAAGTTAGAATAGTATAAACAACCCCCATTCAGGCTGAGATTTTAGGTCCAGTAAGAGAAGCTGTCCATGCCTTTTTAAACCTCAGTGCATTTTTCTTTGACAAAAGTTTGGGCCATAGAGACACCCTATTTTCTGTTAAAGTAATAGTGAGTAATATGAATACGTCATAGATAGTAATTGGTAAACCTTGAGAACTCAGGTTGTGCCAGGCACAGTTCTAGGCTGTTAACACGTGTTAGCTCATCTAAGTCTGACCTCATCCATGTGAGTTATTTTTTCTTTTCCCTTGCTTCCATTCCCCTTCTCCCCCTCCCTGGTTCCCCTTCACACTTGAACATTTTCTTCCTGTTTCACAGTATCTATTATACATTTTGGTCCTTATTTACACTTTCAGTTTCTTACACCAGAGAAACCACGTGGTTTTCACAGAACCCATGTGAGTTATATACAAGTGTTATGCCCACTTGACACATAGGGAAACTGACACTTTATAGAGAAATGAAAGGACTTATCCAGAGTAACATTGCGAGTGGCAGAGTATGGGTGTGAACCCAGGGAATCTAGCCCGAGAGCAGTGATAGCAAACCTTTTAGAGACTGAGAGCCAAAACTGCAGCCCCAAACCTGCTTATGTATCAGAAAGTGCTAACTGCAGTGAAGCCTGAGTCCTGACCAGCCATACGAAGGCTCGGGCAAGTCGGAGCCGCTGAGGGCAGCTGCTGTCATCACCGGTGTGGCTGCTCCTTTCCAGGCCTGTGCACAGACAGCCCCTCTGCTGTTACCTGATTCTTTCTTGCTGGGGCAGTGCTGGAGTGACTTGGCTCACATGTGTACAGAGAGGTCCCAGCATGTGTGCCATAGGTTCGCCGCCTCTGCCCTAAAGTCTTTGCCCTCACTCTCTGTATTATACTATTTGTTATATATATTTTTTTCATTTTAAAGCCTCGATTGGTATGAGTTACATCAAAATCATACCATGTTAAAAGACATAACACCACAGAAATTATTAAGTCTTAACTCTTTTTACAGCAGTAGAAGTTCTGAAGCCTGGAGAAGCCACACAGTTGCAGCCCTGGAACTGATCCCCAGGCTCCTGCCTTAAATGCTTGTCAGCTGCCTCTCATAGGAAAGGTTCTTGAAGTTATCAGAGATCATAGATGGGGATTTTTCTAGCCCTTGGAATTTAAGCCATAAATTTGGCACTGTTCTAATTCCTCTAGGGAGCAAAAGGCCTGAGACCACAAGTTTGTACCATTAGCCACATGTACTTCATTTTCTGCTGAATGTTTTAACTTTCCTGAGGACCAGAAATTTCATATCTAGTTCACAGTGGAAGGCATCCAGCTGAGGAAGTACCTAAGAGAGTTAAACTGCCAGGTTTGGTGTCACTGAGTCATCCAGCACCTCCTGAAAGGTACAGACAGATGCTTTTTAAGATACGGCAGCAGCTTTTTAACATAGGATCCCAGAAGGTAAGATACTTACTAGGGAAGGAGGTGCAGTAGTCATGATCCCAAAATTTGGGTCTGTGTATTATCTCTCATAGACCCTTTGGGGAATACCTCAGTTCATGTATATTGAACATTCTAGTGTTCCTTTCCTGTAGGACTTTAGATACCAGCCTGAGTAATCCTTTCTGTGCAACCTGAGATGGTCGTTCCTGAAATACCTACTCTCTGTGGCTTTCAGTGGGTATATCATTAGTAGAGGAACTGAGGGAGCCATTTTCTGTCTCAGATTTTTTTTTAGCACAGTCATATATCAAAATGCACACTGTTAAAAAGTTGTTTTTGTCCCTCCTGGATCTAAGCCTCGAGACTGTCTCTAAGTAATATTCTGTTGCTGATGAAGGTGCTGGGCGTTGATAACCTTAATATTATTGAAAAGAGTGAGTTGAAAAGAGTGAGTTCAGTGCACTGTAGAACGGAGGGCATAGGAAGCCCTGGGGTTGTTCTCAGCGATGAGATGTGAGGTCAGCAGGACATTACTTGGTGGTATCTTTGATTGTTCAAATAACCAAATGAATAATAAAGATTAATTGTTCAGGAAACAAGTTTAAACAAGAGTGAAAGTTTTCCCTCAAACTCCAGCCCTGGCACGTATCACTTAGGATGAGAACTACCATCTCCACCTTTTATTTCTCTCCTTAACCTTTCTGCTGTGTGTATTCTCTTTGTTTGTTTGTTTGTTTGTTTCCGGTACCAGGAATCGAACTCACGACCTTGCTCTTGCCAGCCGGGCGCTGTGCCGCTGAGCTAAATTCCCAGCCCCTGCTGTGTGTATTCTCAAGAGGGCTTATTAGATTGTCTGGTTGTTCATGACATACATGCCTTGTTTTACATCCCCACTGCTCATTATTGCTGTGACTCAAAAAAGTTCATTTTAATTACATTTTGCCAACACGACTATAATACTTTTTTAAAAAAATGTACATTTAATATTGCTGGTTCTATTTATCTGAATTACTTCCAGAAGGCAAATCTTACAAAAGGGGAAAGTGACTCTTACCCTCCTTGCTTGTGCTAATTAGCACCACTTTGCATGGGAGAGGGAAATTGTCTTGGAACCCTGAGATCTAAGAAGATGAAAGCTGGATTGTTTCATTTTGTAATTAGTAGTAAAGCATGTGGCTGGTTGTGGTATTGCTAGGGTGGTTGATAGATTGGAAGAAGTGTTTACGGGGAGTGATGCAGTCTGTCCTTATTTCTCTGAAATATAGCTTAGGGCAGTTGTCAAAGTACAAATAGAAGACAGGGATAATAAAGTGTCAGGCTGAAGACATTTGGCTTAAGCCATATGCTTTACTTCGTCTCATTCTGACACTGCTATAAGGAAAAGTTGCAGAAAAATTAAACAAGTTTTGGTTTGTATGTTTGTTTGTTTTTTGCAGCTACAGCTGTGATCCTTGGCTGTCTGTTGGCATTGAAGGGACCTGATGTTTTACGTTATTGGTATGTTATAGAAAAAGCTTTGTTATCTTTCTGTTATGGTTTGCCTTGTTCCTTTTTTGTTTTTCCTGCCTATCCTTCCCCCCTTGAAAATAAAGTGAGAAATATTTCCACTTGTGCCACAATGTACCTTCACATCGTTTTCAGAGGAATTCATTCATTTAGGAAATATTTATTGAGTAATCACAATCTGTGCCAGATACTGTTTACAGTGGAATCAAAGTTGAAGAAGGCAAAAATTTGCCTTTATGGAGTTCACAACATGAAGGGGAAGATGGTCAAAGCTGAGAAGTTGCGATAGATGCAGGAGTTTGGGGCAGAGGGATCTCTGACTCTGGTGGGACCTGGGGAAGGCCGAGTGGACAAGGAAGGGAATAGAATGCTCGTTCTTCTCGCTGCTTCTCTGAGTCCCTAGCACATACAGGAGGGCGGGGCAGGGGAGGGCCACAGAGAGTTTGTGGTATAGAACAGAGTTGACAGGCTTTTTCTGTAAAAGCCTAGAATACTTCTGTTTTAAAGCCATGCAGTCTCCTTTAACTACTTGTTTCTGCCTGTGTGATGCAGAAGCAGCTGAAGACACTTCCTACACAAAGGGTGTGGCTGTGTTCCAGTAGAACTTGATTTTCAGAAACAGGCAGTGGGGTAGAGTTTGACCTGAAGGCTGTAGTTGCTGATCCCTGGCCTAGAAGGTCCTCTCCTCTTGGAGCTGTAGTGACCCAGTACAGTGTTTTTGGCAATCTTGAAATCTCATTCTCTTTTTAAGTTTGGCAAGATGGCTAGCCTGTTGCATGTTGAGAAACTGTAATGTGTAACTGGCAGATGGTTTGTGTGTTCTTTTACATAGGTGGAATCACAGTGTCTGTGGTTGCATTCTTCTTCACAATTAAGTTTCTCTTTGAGCTTGCGGCACGTGTAGTCAGCTTCCTTCAGAATGAGGACCGTGAGCGCCGAGGGGACCGGACTATTTATGACTACATGCGGGGAAATTACCTGGATCCCCGGTCCTGCAAAGTCTCCTGGGATTGGAAGGACCCCTATGAGGTGGGCCACAGCATGGCCTTCCGAGTGCATGTAAGGGAATGTTTCTGTCTCCATACCCTTGGGGTTTCTGAGTCACTTGCTTTCCAGAGCTCAGTTCAGTCTTGGTGTTGCTGGGTGGAATGTTAACCTTTTCCCTTGTTTTTCAGCTCCTCCTAGGAACTTGGGAATTGTTAATATCTGAAAAGTCATGAATTTCTCTATCCTTTTGGTTTACTAGGCACTTAGCATTAGAGAAATAAAAAGTATAATGGTAACCTTTCAAAAGTAAAGAAAATACTTGAAAAGAGTTGGCCAGCTATACCCTGAGGTCCAAATTGGGCCCTCCCTCCATTTCTCAAATACATTCTTACTGCAAGAAAGCCACACCTGTGCATCATAGAGTGCCTATGGCTGCTTTCTCACGTGAGTAATTAGGGTACCTGAGTAGCTCTGTATGGTCATGTAGCCAGAAGTATTTCCTGCCTGGGCTGCAGAGACTTTGATGGCTGCTACAATGACTTCTTTATGTCACATCAAGCTTGGCCTGAGAGCCTGAACCCCTCCACGTTTGCCTGGTGCTTTGGTTCACTCAGTGCTATTCCTGGTATAATAGAAAGGAGTGGGAGCACCAAAGAGGCATAATTTGTCAAGTTGGAATCGGTACGGTCTTGATTTGGTGGTGTATTCTACCCCATCCTCTGCACAGGTCAAGAATTTGTTTATAACTTACTGGTTATCTTTGGTGTGCCACGGGAATTAGTCTCTCTCCCTGTGAGCAGGGCTGTAAGGAGCCAGGTAGGCACTGGGATTTGCTGGTGTGACCTCAGCCACCAGTACCTCCTCTCTCTCTCCACTCTCTTACATGCAAAAGTTTTCTCCTGTGCTCGTTCATGGTTGCCTCTCCTCTCCTTGCAGTTATTCTATAAGAATGGGCAGCCTTTCCCTGCACATCGGCCTGTGGGACTGAGAGTTCACATCTCCCACGTTGAACTCGCAGTGGAAATTCCAGTGACCCAGGAAGTCCTTCAGGAGCCCAGTTCTAACGTGGTAAAGGTGGCCTTCACTGTGCGCAGGGCTGGGCGCTACGAAATTACAGTGAAGCTTGGTGGGTTAAATGTGGCCTATAGTCCCTACTACAAAATTTTTCAGCCTGGTAAGTTCATTACTCTTTCTTTTTTCCTTTCTCTCTACTCCCCTACCCTTCTACCTACCACTGCTCATCCTTTACTCTCCCTGCTGCCTCCATTTCCTCTTTCTTTTGTCATTTCTTTTTCTTTTTTGGTGGGATTTGGTGAGATGGAACCAAGGCCTCATGCGTACTAAGCTTGTGTTCCGTCCCTCACCTCCCCAGCCTCCTCTTTGAGATTTCATTCACATGCCGTAAAATCCATCCGCTTAAAACATACAATTTAATGGCTAACAGTTAGGCAGCTGTCAGCACGTAGGCAGCATAGGCAGCTGTTCATTACCCCACAAAGGAAACCCAGAGTTATTAGGAGTCATTTTGTCACCAAACCCCCAACCCTGCTGCCTCAAAAGAGTTGCCTTCTCTATACATTTCATATTAATATGATCATAAACTTTATGACCAGCTAGTTTTACATAATACAGTACTTTTAAAGTTTATTCATGCCATAGCATGAATTCGTGCTTCATTTCTTTTTACTGCCATATAGTGTTTCAGTTTACAGATACACTGCATTGTTTTCATCCATTCATAAGTCGATGGACATTTGCGTTGTTTACACTTCTTTTTTAAAGCATTGTATGCGTGTTTCTGGGGAATCCAATTCAGGGCCTCATGCATGCTTCTTTCCACTCCTTAGCTATCAAAAATAGTGCTACTGTGAACATCTGTCTACAAGTTTTTGTGCGGATGTGTTTTTTATTTCTCTAGTAGTAGAATTGCTGTCCTTAGTGTGGTAAATCCTTAAGGGGGAAGGGCACTAGAGTAGACAGAAGATAAATTCTTCTGATTTTTGAAACCTTTTAGGGTGAAAAGTATCTTGACCCAGATTCCACCCTTGTTGCCAATGTGTTTTACTTCTCACTGAAGAGCGTCTGCCCATATTTCTGTTATCCGAGAATTAAGATCTTTATCCCTAATTTTTCTATCCTTCATGTTTTTATGCCAGATGATACATGCTTATTAACATTGAGGTCCCAAAGTATAATCTGTGGCTCTTGGTTTTGAAACATGTATGTTTAGTGTGTTGGGGTCCTATGTGCTCTCTGTGCCTTGTGTGGCTTTTTTTTGTTGTTGTTTTTTTGGTGCTGGGAATTGAACTCAGGACCTTGTGCTTACCAGGCAGGTGCTATACTACTGAGCCATATCCCTGGCCCTTTGCATGACTTTTTTTTTTGAAGGTGTCCTTAGATACGGGCTATTTTGGTATTCACAGCATTATCCTTGGCTAACTTTGGGAATCAAATCTTAATGATTGGGGCCTTAGAAAGATTGGTTTATCTTTTTTATTTTATTTATTTATTTTTTGAGACAGAGTCTTACTGTATACTTCAGGCTAGCTTTGAACTCACTGTGTACCCAGGCTGGCCTTGAACTTGAGATGATCTTCCTGGCTCGGCCTCCTATGTACTGGTATTACAAGCATATGCCACCATGTCCCGCTAGATTGGTGTACCTTTGCCTGCCTGGTCCTCAGTTTTCCTTACTTTATGGCAGAAGAAAACTCTGGACACAGCACCTCCTGAGCCATCTCTCTCTCCACATATCTCCTTTGCTTGAATGCTCCTCTCAGAAGCTCCTTTACGCATGAAATATCACCTCACCTCCTTGCCATCAATATGCAGGACAGTTTCCATCCTTATAATATGTACTATCCCTTTTTAAAATTCAGCTTTTTAGCCAGGCATGGTGTCACATGTCTGTAATCACAGCACTCAGGAGGCTGAGGCAGGATTGCCATGAGTTCAAGGCCAGCCTGACCTACACACTATAGTGAGACCCTGTCTCACACGAGAGAGGTGAAATCAAGTAAGTTGAGTGACAAAAATAGAGAGGCTGTGTGATATATTCTGGAGGAACTGGCAAGAAAAAAAATGTACAAGAAAGGCAAATTCAGAAGGTAACCCTGGGAAAACTTAAGGTAGGTATATACTGTTGAATTTTTGAGCTGTTGTAGAGTACTGGGAACTTTGTAAAGGTCAAATTAGTGAGGGAAGAACTGACAGCTAACTTCTTAGATATAAAGAGCTGTAACAAAAGAGGAGAACCAGAAGAGACCTAACATAGCAAAGGCAACCCTGGGCAACAAAAGCACGGCAGGGGGCATCACAATCGCTTACTTGAAAGTATACTAAAAAGCTACTGTGATAAAAACAGTGTGGTA